CTATGACATCTAGTACTAAATACGACTTAGCAATATTGATATGTAAAATACACGAACTCACGAGCCATGTTCATCAATCAGTGTATCGTATAAATATTATAATAGATATAAATGATATAATAAATCAAATAATTGAATGTCAGCGTGTTTATAGATATTTTATCTATACGTAATTTAAAATCTTTTCTTTATAACTTTATAAAAATATATTAATTTCTTAAAATGTGAAATTTTAAACTAATATATACATACATTTTAACTCTGATAAATAATTTACTTACGTTTAAGTAATTGACTAATAAAACAATAACGTTGACAATTTATTACAATCGTTAGTAAAGTACGTAACTAGTATATTTATTAAATAACTGCTATAAAATACATAATTGAAATCGCTTCTCTTTATTGATTATCCATTTATTCATTGTTTCTTGTTTTTTTTGTTGTTTTTTTTACTATTTACGGACTATATGTTGAAAAATATATAGGTACTGCCTGATATTTTATGGCATAATATTATTTATTTATTTGTGCAAATAATATATAGATATACCTACAGACTTTTAAAGTTTAAACCATAATTATTATACAATACGTACTAAAAGACAAAATATAAAACATCAAATAAAAGTAGATTTAAAATGAAAAATGTTAACCCTTTTTTCAAATAAGTTTAATAACTTATAATATTTAAAAAAAAAATTTTAATTGTAATTAGGTAGTATGTCAATACCTAATGTGAAGAACATACTTCCACAATTACTGGTTTTAATGCGATTTAAAATATAACGATAAAATACGAAACATAGACTGAAGACTTGAAAGCCTTGCATAAAATTACATTATTAATATCCTCTATATAGTTAGTCAGTTAGACCTTAAAAAAGTTTACTCTGTTAATTTAATATTTGGCCTAGTTAAGACTTTTGCACGCACTTCCTGAACAATAAGTATAAAAAATTTAAGCTATTGCAAACAATGCATAATGTATAAAAATGTATTAACCACATATGTACAAATTAGAAACTTATGACTTTATCATAATTAAGTTACATTAAATACAACTTAGCATGATTAAATGCATCAAATCACTAGCCCTACTCATCAATAAAGAGTTCTACTCAACACCTAATGTATAGCAGAGTGGTAACCACTTATCTACCTTTTTTAATTATTATTAGCTTTTAACAAAGAATTGCTTATTTCTTATTAATTATTATAAATTATGTAATATGTTATTAAAATTCACTAGATACTCGATTACTATTCTATATTGTTTATTTCGAGTCTTGATACTTTTTAATTGTTTATCTAAATCAAATGTGTAATGACAAATTTTTGAACCTATTTACACGCCTATACAATTTTAAAAGTGTTAATAGGAATCTAAATATTAAATTATAATAAATTATAATATAATATCATTATTAACATATTGTGTTAATGTAGGTTAATCAAATATAAATCATTTACATGCAGTATTGTTATTGTTACGCCTATGTAAATAATGTGAAAGGGTAAAGATACAATAATATTTATAAGTATGCCTACACAAAGTTCGGTAAAAATTATATGTACAACGATTGTCGTACTGCTGTCTGCACAATAGTATATGCTGTTCTTGTAAATATAGTTGAGTTCCTACTTATGTCCTATATAGATATAATGATTCAAGCTCGACGACGGATCGAGGTTGTTCCAGGAAAAAAAACACTTTTACTTAAAATGTCGTGATTTTACAAAAAATAAATATAAATCCTTTGATGCTGGTTCAGGGTCAAAGTAATAATAAATTTTAATATACCTATTATCTAAATGTACTATTTAGTATATTGATATACAATAACTGAGTGCAGTGGCGCTAAACCTATACATGAACTGAAGCGATCGCTTCATATATATGTTAAAATAATACAATATATTTATAAATGTTAAAATCCTCAGTGGTTGATGGTATGTATGTAAATATTTCTACTTAAATTTATATAACACTTGGCGCCACTGATTGCATGCACTTATTTACTGAGATATTTTGTATAGATACAAAATTAAAAACTGTGCCGGCATGCAATGTGATGCTGCAGATCGCACTGCACGTGCGTGATCAGAAACAATCAGTGACGCGTTAAGCTGTTGCCGCCCCGGGGCAAATTAAAATATGCCGCCCTTACAAAAATTACAATTCAAAATTATATTCAACACATTATTAATATTAACAATTTACTTGTAACTGAATATGTTTGAGGAAAAAACGTTCAGAAATAATGAAAATAGTTTATACGATAACAGTACAATAATTATTAGAACAAGTTCTTAATTCTTAACGCCTTATTGTGACATGCAGCGGTAGACGGCGGCTTTTTTGTGGTATTTATAAACGAAATAATAATATGTACTTATTATAGTTATACAGTCACACAAAAAAAATTATAATTATAAATTTTTTATTTTATGTTGATCCTCCAAAATTTGCCGTCTCGTCAAACATCATAAAATTTGCCGCCCTGGAGCAATTGCCCCCCCCTGCCACCCATTAAACGCGGCTCTAGAAACAATATAGTAAAAATTAGGGTTAGGATTTATAAGTAATGAAAAATTGTAAAATATGCATTTAGCTTTATTAAATATATGTAATTAATATTAAATACGCCAAAAATATGAAATATACACTTAAAAAAATAGTTCATTTTAAAATTAATTAAATAATATTCTTAACTAATCACGTTATTCAAATGTATTACACAAAACGATTACATGGTGTTTTCAATTGTCGAAACTGGACGGTCTTCTGTTAGACCTTAATATAGGTAAACCTTCAATAGGTATTTTTGAACAGCGTATACATACTGTCGCGTGATAAAAACGAGCAACGAAATATACCATAAAATATGTATTTTTCACGTTTTTATAGTCGAAATAATATGTAATAATATTAATTTTATTCAAAATATGCAAAATAAAATTACTACTGTTTATTTCATCATGAGGTGATTCGTGGACATTACTTACAAAAGCAATAATCAGAAGTTGCAAAAAAAATATACTGTTGCATATAAATTCTAGCCCTAGTAATAATATACACTAACGCTGAAATTATCATATTGTATAGGTACAGCGTGTTTAAAATTCTCCCCATTACCCTAAGTGTTTTAGTGGCAAAGTGATTAATTTGAGTATTAGTTTTTTTCAGTTATAAAGTAGAAATTTTTCATTTTTGGCATAGATTTAAAATTTTTATTTTTGAGATGATAATAAATTTTTAAAATACCTTCTAGTTACGTCATCATTTTAAGACGCGTCTATAATATAATATTACCTTTAGTTATTTTATATTTGCTGTTACAAATAAATAAATTTGAATTAATGAAAAAATTATTGAACAAGTTTTCACGAGTGTCACAATATAAATTAAAAAAAAAAAAAACCTATATGATAAAAATATAAGAAAAAATTAAAAAACAACATTTTCAACCTATCCGTATTAATCATGCTTAAGAAAGTTTGTGTAAAAATGGAAGAAAAATGAAGTTCCATGATGCGTAACATTGATTTTTATATTTTTAATTAATATGCATCGAAGAAAAAACAATCGATTTGCAAATAATTTATATTTTATAAACCCTATGCCACATCGTGGCGCGTGAGATCAAACACCTAATAATATATTATCTAATGCGCGAATGGTTTCTCGTGTTATAATATTATATACTGCACAACAAGAACATTCGTTGCGTATTTTATTAAATATAATATTATGTATTACGAGTCACGCTTGTTTTTTACTCGTACCATGTGTACACATTGCAGCACAATATGTGCGTAATACCTGCAGCTCTCTGCTGCTCTACATACGTTTATTGTCAAAATATTATACCTTTGCCAAACCGACGTGCTTACAATAACACGTAGGTAGTACTGTTGTAGGTAGGTAGGTGCCCATAATACACGTCACAGGTGATTAAATTCGTTGTATACCTACCTACACCGGGCTACACTGCAATCGCGCTTGTATTTTTTTTTTTTTTTTTTATACAACTACTATATATATAACGAGGAAGATAATGTACAGTGTACCAATATATTATTAAGTATACGTGTAAATTGGAAATTAGGGAAACGGCGATTTCGCGGCCGTTCATTAATTATTCAAATCGTATATTATTTAGCGTAATTATGACGGCGGCGATAACGATGACCGCTCTTCTTCACACGCGCGTTCGCCCGTGCCCGTACCTACCTATTATATTATATTGTACAACGTACAGTGTAGTACGCGACCCGGCTGTACGTGCAGTCATCTCTGGTGGTTGCGCCGCCGCCGCCATAAAACATTACGTTATAAATACACGCAGGTACAATTATATTTGCATAAGCATAACAATAATCGTAATAATAATTAGCGGTGCCCATATAATATGCATTCGTCACCGTCCAAGTCGTATGCTATTACTATTATATGCATATCTACGCGTCGGGACAAACGAATTTCGTTTGGCGCGTCGGCTGTGTGTAATGAATGGGATCGCCGCGGTAGGTATACGTAATACGTGCAATGTACCTACGGCCGTCTGCACGTATTTATGTATACACATAATATTATGTTTATTTGCGATACATTATTGTGCGTTTTATGTCGTACACTTTTACGCACGCGCTCCGCGACCGGTAGATGACACGCGGCACAAACGTCGCGCGTCGGGTCGTCGTCTGCAGCTGATAACGTTGTGTTCGGGCAAAGGAAATTTTCCGCGTACAACACAGTACTTCAGATCCACAACAGTGATTCAAATAAGTCCGCCCGATACGTCCGATTTTCTTGTACACCGTATAATTATTATTGTCGACTTGTAATTTTATTTTCTGTTTCTGTTCCTGTTTTTTTTTTTTTTTTTTTTTTAATTGTTTAACACTATTTACGCGTACGTACGTGCGCAACCGTCGATAGAGATGTATTACACCGGACAAATTTCACAGTGACGCTCGGGGGTGGCGGTGGCGCGATGATCGGATACCGCGGTAGTGGTCTTCGGACACTGCAGGCCGTAACCTTAATGTACACGGCGTTTTGCGTTCAAACAGTCCAACCGTAAGTCAAGCACACGTCACATACCCTCATAATACATTTAGACTTATATGTGACTGATTTTGTTTGTTCCACGGTCAAATATATTTTAATGCATGCAGATGGCTAATAGACAGCCGCGCACTGCAGAGATTTCCTCTGAGTTAATAATATTATATTCTCAGTAGTTAGCCTTGAACCGAGTTCGCACTCGAATAGATAGTATAAACTCAAGTTGATTGATGGTGTACCGACAACGAAAATAGTTATACTGCGATGCCTGGTGAACCTATCCAGCGAATATATATCGTGAGAATGGTGGGATAATGGATTTATTTTTTGGTAATAAGAACACACCCTCTTTAGGAATCAAGCCGATATTATATATATTATACTTTGCGATTAGCTATTAATAGATTTCCACACACATGCTAAAGTAAATTCATATGAAATAAATCTACATAATTTAAGAAGAAAATTAGCCTTGAGCAAACAATTAATGCACCGATACAGACAACATTAAAAAAAAACCGCGGACGATTACTACGTATTAATTTTATTAACAGTTGATTTTTTGTTTTTTTTTTTTTTTTTTTTTTATCAATAGAATTATAAATTATTATTATAAATCAAAAATAAGGTGTGTGATCCACGCAATACACATTTATTGTAATTATGTAATTATTATTAATTTCATTCAGTACAATAGTGGGTGATGTACTTATAATATTATGTACGAGCATATAGTATTTACATTGATGTATTACAATGTTATAGTTATGACTTATGACCTATTTAAGTTTTCTTTTATTTACGATTTTACACCACAGCTTTCATTTTTAACATTGAAACAGCCATTTAAATATTCTTATGTACATAAAGGCATGTATTTTGATACCTATATTACCTTTATAATAAAGTATGAGAAATGCAATACCATGAATTTGCAGATATTAGAATTAGTTAAAACTGTTAAGCAATACACAATGCCAAATGTCAAAAATGTTTTACTAATTTGGTTACTATAGTATACTAGGCTTGTTAAATTTAAAGTATTACCTAATAATTGAATCAAATATATTCAATAGTATGTGATCCACACAAAAAATATTTTGAATAAATTATTTATGATTTTATTTGTTGAGGCTAAGTATTATTAAATTATATTTTTAATACAATAATTATTAAATGTAATTATTATTATTAAAATAACATAAAAAAATCAAATTAGTTATCAATTTTTTTTACAAGATTTTCCAATGATCCTGATTAGTGGGTAGTGGCCATAGTCAGATAAAAATAATTCAACTCTAAGACTTCGAGGTCTTTCATTGGACATGTCTATTATACATTATAAATAATCGATAAATTAAAATTTAATTCACATATGCACGGATACCAATTATAATTTTAAAAATTTTAAATTATCAAAATATTTCACACTTAAGGCGTAACATTAAGGAATATAAAATACTTGTCTTAAATCTATAATTATATTTTCATTAGGGCGTGCAGTGATGACAATACTGCAGACGGTGGTAATCGTGTAGAAATGCTTATGTGGCTAACAGACCCATGTCGGTACGATCGTTGGACAAGACCAATACCATCAGACAGTAACAGTAAAACCACTAAAACCGGAGCACCAACGCGAGTATCTGCTAGAGTATATGTATACTTTTTAGGATCAGTAGAGGCCCAACAGCTGGTTAGTACAATATCAAGATCTTTATAATGTGCACTGTGAATAAACGTTATAATTAATATTAATAAAAATTAAAAAGTTTCATTTCTTACGTGTTTGCCGTATATTTTATATGTTAAGATGTTATAATAATACGTACTATGAGCTTTGATGGTCTATTGTCTATTGTCATTCGTTATCCATAACTACTGTTTTAGACAGTAGTCCGTTCATTTTTTTTTTTTTTTTACAGATTATGAGTAAATTATGTATAATTATAAAAAAATAACGAAAAATGTATTACACTTTTCGTTTATTTAACCGTTTTTTAGTAAATTGTATTATTGTATATACTTGTATTTACCTAGTAAAGTAATTTATAAAAGATATAATATTATATTATAATAGAACCGTGCACGAGATAAACAATTATTATCTGCGCAATAGAGTTGTGTAATAAGCACATTTATAAAACTAAATGCTATAAGCTGTAACGTATTCTTCTATCGAATACTTATTGTTTTCCAAACTGTTAAAAAAATCACGCAACGTATAGTCATTAGATCGAAGTTGATGTATGGCTTACTACTTACTATTTAATAGGACCTTAAATTGATAATAATTCAGCAGCCACCGTTATACTATATTAAATAATACTTCGACGACTATCCAATGCAAATATAATTATGTACTGTTTATATGAATAATAACTTATAATAGTCGTATACTTAAAATTCAGCATTTTACGGCCCATTTATTGATACGGTATCGATGGCGGGACGATCGGCTCATACATTCTTCTTCCAAGTCTTCTATACAAGGTGAGAATAAACTTAGGGAACGAGTATGGACTCCGCATGTTTACATCGTCAATGAACACGACTCTAACATAATGGGATCCGGTCGTCAAGATATACTAGTCACGGTTCAACCAGATGGAACAGTTTTGTACTCAGCTAGGTTGTAAAACATGACTATTTTACTTCAATTTTAATTGCACTTTAATTTATAATAGCAATCGAATTTAAGTAAATACTTGTTTGCAGGCTAAAAGTGTCATTATTATGTATGATGAATTTGCAAAAATTCCCATTTGATCAACAAACATGTCCTTTGATACTGGAAAGCTGTTTGTAGACTATTTGATTTTGTATTTAGCTTTTATGTTGTATGCATATGCAACATGTAAATTTTTTTCTATTTTCAGGGACTTACAATAATACTCATTTGGAATTGGTGTGGGAACACGATTCTCCTGCAGTATTAAATAGCAATTTGCGAATGACTGAATACAACTTAGTTTCAATTTGGACTGATGCAACGGTCAGTGAATACGCGTTGTTGTCACCCTCCGAAGATAAAAATGTTAAAAAAAATGAATATTCTCCATTATCCGTTGAAGTCGTTGAACATGTACATTATTATGGAAAATTTGGTAAACTGATTTTACAAGCTTTTTAAATTCATACATACTTTGAAAGTATAGATAATTAATAATAATTATAGCCTAAATATCACATTTGCATATTTAATGTCGATATACTATATTTGATACAACCACCAATAAAAGAATTATTTCTAGTTTCTACAAACACTTAGAAGTGTCAAATAAGAATACGCTCTCTCTGTTCAAATAGAGCTTATCCCACTAAAATTGAATATGTATAGGTGCTAGTGTGCTACATTAAATTAAAAAAAAATTATCAATAATAGCAGGTTACACAAATTAAAAAAACTTTAATATTTATACGTAGTATTGTAAAAATATGCCAATACTAACTATTAATTTGATAGTAATTTAAACTACTTATAATACTATATATTAAAAACAATATATTAATTATATTATAAAATAAATTTGTCTTATTAAAAGAACATGCTATTTAAATATAACCTAATAGTACATTGATTTTTTGTTTTGTTAAAAGCTGGTAACTATAGTCAGTTAATAGTTAACTTTGAATTAGAACGTGAAGTTGGTCACTATATAATGGATTATTACGTACCAAGTATTATGCTTGTAGTTGTATCATGGGTATCGTTTTGGTTAGACCCAAATGCAGTACCTGGTCGCACAACGTTAGGTAAATATAGCTATATTAAACATCAATAACTTACGATTAATTTTACTAATTTGATACCCTTTTTTTATTAATATTTTATTAATATGCTTTAATTTAAAAATTAATATTCACGCGATTTGTGTGTATATAATTCAGGTACCAGTACAATGTTAACATTCATTACACTATCCAGAAACATAGGTAGCTCATTACCAAAAGTTTCTTACATTAAAGCTACTGAGATATGGTTTCTTGTGTGCACAGCATTCATATTCGGTTCGTTAGTGGAGTTTGCATTTGTCAATACCATATGGAGACGGAAGTAAAGTATACTTCATTATTATCTACTTAATATATAAATATTAAATATTATACATATTAAGTACAAAGAAAGTGTATTCATCACAATTTAAATGGCATTAACTAATAGAAAAAACGTGGAACTGAAAAAAGTCAATAGTAAACATATTTTTAAGTCGACATTAACACCTCAAATGCAACGTAAGTCAATATCTGTGGACAACGGTATTGACAGAGGAGCTACTAGTGGTAGTCCCACAGAAAGAAGTGGAAAATTAAATAGAAGAGAAAATGTAAGTATTTACGAGTATAAAGTACCTAGTAGGTTACTTACCCATAAGCGTTAATGCGTTACCTATCTAAGATATCTAAAACGGTATGATAAAATATCATGAGAATTATCGATCGCGCTCATCCATATATATAATAACTTTAAAGTGCTATATATTTAAAAAAATTAATTTTCAAACTATCCAATAAAATATCTATTACCTATATGAAACATGTCACTTTCTTCCGTAGATGAAATACTTTGGCCCTTTCACCAAACATGAAACGTGACTAGTCATTATGCTCACTTTTAATCAATCGAATTATGAACTAATTAATAATAAGTATCATCAATTGTCTTGAAAATAAATATTAAACCATTAACCAATCTCCAATCATCATGTTGGTAGCTCAATCGATGAGTATCGAATCCATTGTCTACAAAATACAAAACCTAATCACACAAACCATTTCGCGTACATGCTTAATTAATTAAAGATATAATAGATATATTATTTTTTTAATAATAATTGATTGAACATTGAACATTATCATCGATGTATTATTTAGGTTTATATTTATTTATTTTTACCTACATATGGTAATAAGCATTGACTGATACAATAAAACGCTATAAATTTGCACTAGTAACTTAAAATTTGATCAACAAATTAACTAGGAGTATCACTTATTCTTGCATAAAATTTTACCATATTTGTTCAGTTTATGCTATAAATTTATAATAAAGAAACATTGCTTGATTTGCCTTTTTTTAAAGAGATCGAAGAGCTTTCTGACTGTCGGTGATTTGAATTCAGCTGTATGCACCAATCCAGAACCTCTTGAAAATTTTAGTATCCGGGTACCAACGTTGAATGATAATAAGACTGTCGGTGGCGGAGGTTTGTTTACATTGACTCCACAAGAGATCGCTCAATGGATCGATCAACGCAGTCGTATTGCATTTCCTGCAGCGTTTCTTGTATTTAATTGTTTTTATTGGCTTTATGTATATGTTTGAACAATACGATACCCATATTTAATATAAAAATATATGTTTTGTTAATTATTTTCAATTATGTTAATCATATATTTTTTCAAGTTCATAAAAATGTATGATTGGGAATCAAATTTTATGAGTAAAAAGTTACATTTAGAATGTAAACTTCAGTTGTTCAGTTTTCAAAGATTCAAAATATATCAACTTAGTTTATTCTATTATTATTAGGTATCTATCATATATTTAGTCTTCTCTAAAAAAAAAAAAAATTAGATAGATATAACATAGTGTATATTATACCTATATAATAAACAACAGTTTGTAGTTATCTCGGCACTCATACTAATATAGGCATAAATCTATCTGATAATCTACCGTCTATTTACAAGATAATCGTTATTAGTTACTTGTTATTTAATAAGTAAGTAATCTATGTCGTGCCTAATCGTATATTTTTAGCTTTTAAAGTTTATGGGTGTTAAATAAGCACTTACAGAGATGTGCCCTTAGTAAGTCACTTGATTAGTTGTGCCTATTCTACTTTGGAAATGTGTAACTTGAAGTTACGAGTTAAATTAGCTATTCGATTCACTATCTGTAAGATTAATATCTATTACTAATATCTTTGCAATTTTTAATATTAATTATTTAATTTTATAAAAGGTGAAGATTAAAAATAAAAAAAAAAAAAACATTTGGTTTATCTAGATCGGTGTATAAAATAATAATTTAATTCTAAAAATGTATATTTTTATGAAATTGTAAACAGGTATAATATAACTTATATGACATGGATTTTTACATATGATTGCTTTAAAAACAAAATAATAAAATACAAGTACAATACTACAATACCATTAGATGGTAAGGTATAAGTATAAAATGATTGTTTAGTTTTGATGGTCAACTCTAAATATAGTGAGAGGAGTCTATACCTGATCACAACTTTGAAAATTAAGGAAATAAATTGTCCTTGTAATTTATCAAGTAAATATTAAATTTATATTTATCTTATAGTGTAATAAATAATAGATTTTTTTATTGAATATAAAAACATCAACTACAAGGTCATTTTTTATATAATTACATTAATTTTTTCCTTTGGATTAGTTAAAATTTTAATTAAGGCTTTAAATTAGGTTATATAGTTAGGTTTCCTTTAAGAAGTTTACTATATTGTTATTTGATTGGAGGTTTGGTTATAGAGCTTCAATTAGTTGATATAGTATGAAGTATTTGGATTGTGAGTCTACATACTTAGAACAATCAATTAGTCAATGTTTGACAGTGAACTCCACATCACACGATGATTGACATATGGAGAGGGAGGTCTTTTTTAACCATGAGGTGATTGTGTGTTGCAAATGTATGCCTAATTCGAAGATGATTTAAAATGGTTTCGTTTTTCCTATTTAGGCCGGGGTTTTTTATTGTATTTAATTTGGTGTTTAATCATGTCCAGTAATTTTGCCATTTTTGGTATAGAATCTTCTAGGTAAATTTGTTCAAATTTGTAAAAGTACCTAAATTTAAAATTTAGGTGTCGGTAGATGAGGCTGCTTTGGATGCTTTTTGATCTGCAAATCCACAGTGTCAGGTATCCATATCTAACTTGCTTCGAAGGTTTTTTCATGGATAAGTTTAGATATATCTGTTGGATTTGTTAGGTTATTTGTGCCAGTTATGCTGCTGAGAGTCACTTAGCACTAAATATTTATCGTGTGACGTTTCTTTGTTTGTATAATCTTGTTTTGTACTACTTTGTATAAAGTTAATGCTTCGGCTATATAAATAGAGCATTCCAGAGGAAGTTTGTAGGAAGAGGTGGAATTTTCAGTTATTATGAATATTCCAACTTTTGGTCTGTTTAGGAATTTAGGATGCATCGGTATAAATGTGTGTGTAGTTGGAGTATTTTTGTAATGTGTTTTGAAAAATATTTCTGTACATAACAAGACTGGTGTTTTCTTTTTTGAATTCGGAGATTTCTAGATTTATATCAAAGTACATTTACCACGGAGGGGAATTTGGGGGTTTTCTTTTTACTAGGTGTTATAGGCCTATATGATATTCTTCAGCTTTTTTATGTTTTTAGCTAGGTATTTATTTGAAGAGTTTTCGATATTTAAGTGTGATCTGGCTGTATAGAGAAAAGTGTTATATGATTTTTCCTGAGTCCGGTGAAAATTCGTTAGCTAAGTTTCTCAAACTATCATAATAAATTATGTTGGTAAGAAAAAAAACTCTCCTAGGTTTGGCTTAGGTTTTATATTTATCCGTCATTATCAATTTTAAACATACCAATATATTAGTGATTAATGATTATAGTACATTATCTATATCTAGACACCGAATAGTCACTAGTCGGTAGCTTTGATTTAAAAATCAATGCTATTATCTTCATTTTTCATAATATAAAAAGTAATTGTATACCTACCACACTAAATATTTAAAATATTTATATCATCAGTATTAACAAAATTAGACACGTGTCTGATAAATCTATGTTACAATTATTTATGCATAAAAAGTAATCTAACCTGTTTATCAATAATGTTATTTCAGCTAACCCTGAACCCAAAAAGAAATATTTTAAAACATACCATAAGCAATCACAATACAGTAACTCGAACCTTGATAACTCGAAATTCTTGATATTTCGAATAAATGAAATTCGTCTTCAAATAACAATCATATTTAATGTTAAAAAAATCTCGTCAACTCGAAATTAATTAGACTAGGTTTCGATTATTCGAGCTTCCTTATCTACATTTAGTACTAAATATATGTAGTTTACCACCGTGATTATTTTTTGCTTATAAACTTATAGCGTAATTATTTTTATTTTCATGTCGCTTTGGGTTCGTTGTTCAAACCGATGTTAAATGCCAATACATTTTTAATCAAATTTAAAATTTTATCATTATTAAATTTCCTGAATTAATAAATTATTTCATATTGTGTTCATAAATGATAAAATGAATAATATATTTTTAAACATATTAGTGATATCAAATACAATGTGAAATTATTAATTATTGACCTTCAAATTAAGTAATATGAACTAAATAAGAATAGGTTTCCATGATTTCATAAATGTATAATTAGGTTTTTTGAGGCAAAGGATCAAATAATAATTTAAATATCAGAAATCTTCTTTATGAAATTAATATTGAACAAGAATATTTACCTTTTATAGTTCTATCACCTTTACTGCTTGTCACCTTTAAGAAAAGTTAGATTAAAAGGTATGATTAACTGAAGGATTATAATAAAAAACTTTTTAAATACCTTTGAGTTATAGTTTATTGAGATAAAAAGATAAATAATAAAGTTTACAGAATCATAAAAATACACTCTGAATATTATTTTGATAATTTTAAAAGAAACTTTAAATTATCTATTAGTAAAATATGATTTTCATGTAATTACCAGTAAATTAATTAGTTTATATTTAGAATTTATAGATTTGTTTTAATCTTATGATAATTGTTAGTAACAATTAGTATATTATGATACTAATATTATCATAAATACAGAGATGCGTTGGTACAAACAAATGTTTTTAACAAATTTATTTTAAACATGTAAGAATTAACAATAATAAACTATAAACAAATAATATATGGTAACAACAAATTATTTTTTCACAATAGGACCATATTCTTTTGCAATATTTTGTTCAAATATTTTTATAAGCTCATCATTGGTTTTATCAATTTTCATTAATTTTTGTTCTTCTAAAAAGGACAAACGTTCATCAGATTCATCCATCAACAAACTTCGCATGAAAACAGATTTTCTAAGAAAAAAAAGTTATTTTAAATTTATTTTTTTTTTTGTTTAGCATACAACATTAATAATTATTATTTAAATTAATTTTTAAGATTTCATAGGTACTAAAAAATACAATAATATTGTCTAAATGTATTTTGTGTTCATTAAACTAATATGTTTAATTAATAATATATATAACTATTAATCATTATATAATTTTAAGTTATAGAAACTAATTAAATTTACTTTAAAATATCTTTGAATATCTTAGTACATAATATGGTTATAAATTATGATTTGAAAAAGAATAGATTTGATTATTATTTATTATATAAAATATAACAATATTATTAACTTACTTAACACCATTATATCGTATTATAGATCCAACAAGTAGTATTGAAAGACAGACACCTGCAATAGCAATATTTGATGATAGCCAATGATTATTTGGATTATTGTACTCATCTTTCCAATTTCCACTAATTATGATAAGTAGACATAAATTTGTATTAATAATGTAATTAAATGTTCACCTATTACCATTAATTTACTATAGTATCAGAATTGCTATATATTGCTCTTGTTCTTACCTATTTCGACGTTCATGGTAATGATAATAAATTGGATTGCTATTTTTACTGTATACTAGAGTTTCATCATACAACTTTTTCTTATTTTCATCAATTAGTACATTGTATGCTTCATTGATACGTACAAATCTATCATTAGAAGAAGGACCACATACATCTGGATGGTTCTAGAATATAAACAGTACTTATATCAAAAATAAATTTATTAATTCTTTTTAAAATAAAGATAAGTAAATACTTACTAATTTAGATAGTTTAATAAATGAGTTACGTATTTCTTTTTTTGTACATCCTGGTTTTAGGTTTAATGTTTCATAGTACGTAGACAAATTTTTTTTTGTTGATCTATTGGATAATAAAAACATAATTAAATGTTTTGAACATGTAAAACTAATATTTATGATATGAATAAGGCTTAAGGCTATATTACTTTAAATATATCTATGGTTATTTAACTAAGGTAAACATAACTTATAAAAAACTTTCAGAAAGTAAAAATAAATCATGGTTCCTATGAGATTTATTTTGAAGGACTTATAATCAAAGGGAAATGATACAAGGGTACTAATATTGTAAGGCAATGATAGAATTAAATTTCCATTAGTTAAAATAGAAAGGCAATAAAATATTTAATAAAAGAAATACGAGGAATTATATTTAAAAAATTCTAGGTAATTAAAAATAAATAAAAAGAGTGGGTTGAAAGATAATAATTGTGATTTGAAATTTTTATGTTACTTTACATTCAGATTTTGTCCAGAGTAATTTATAATTAGAATAACTATTAACTAATATTTAAAATTTATGTTTAAAAATATCAAATATAAATTGCGTTGTAACTTATAACTTACTGGCAACGTATTGTTATATCCTTGAAACCAAGTGGAACTATTTTAAGAGTGATAGGCACAATACAAACCATTGTTAATTATTTATTGTTTAAGGTGCATATAAAAGGTAACACGATTAATAATAATAAGTAATAACTACATCAAATGTAAAATGTATAGATGTGTTTAGACAAAATAACATAAATAACTGGTAAATACTAAATACTATAAAATTAAACTTTCATCGTCAATTATTAACGTTATGTTGTGTAATTTTTGAGATTTCTTTATATTATCAAATTTTTAAATTAAAAAAATATTGTTTGTTGATAGTAATATAACACATGATAAACACAAAATGATAATATAATGATAATTTAATGATATTATATAATATGATAGTTTTATGTCATAATAAATGGCGGGAAAATAATTTTAGGTTCAAATAAAGTAATTTGATAAAAACATTTTGAAGAGACAAAGCTTAGGAAAAAATAACGGAAAAAACATAAACAAATTAATATTTCTCATAAAAAATCTATAATTTAATATAATATCATATGAGTGACTTGTATAATATGAATGTGTATAGACGTATAGTATTATATAATATTTTATAAACGCAATACTTAATTATGCTTAACCACTTGCAAATAACCATAATAATATAATCCATTGGTCACCGCATTTATTTGAAGTTATAATCTACATTTTTATGATTAAATGAATAAATAATAATTTATTTTGTAAAATTTAAAATATTGAATAAATATTAAAAAAGTAAAAGATATAAAAATAAAAACCCAAATTTTTAGAACTTCAGAAGTTGAACAATATTATTTTACATCTAAACAGTTAACATTCTAAACCCAAAAATTTAGTTATATAGATATTTATTTTTAAATACCAAAGTTGATTCGATGTCCCGTATTCATAATTTATGCATCTATATTAATCGTTAGTAACCGTTTCGTTGAAAATCAAACCAAATATACTTAATCGTTTTGTGAAAAGTGTTGAAAAATAAATAAAATTCATAAGTGCTTTTTATCAAAAACTGACCATTTGTCTGGGGCTTTAAACCCTATAACAAGACTTTTTCTAAGTATTTAATTACTCAAATATATATACTAAAACAAACCTCTTCCCGTCCGTGTATCTATTCACTTACATAACTAAATTAATTAAAATTAATAATAATAAAACTAAAACTATATCCCCAATTAAAATTATCAATCGAAATACCATAAAAAAAAATAAAAACAATAACAGTTGGTCAAGCGAGCGTGATACGATGTTTTCAATTACGACTGGGCGGAGGTTGTTTCTCCCAAATCTCTCGAACGTTTAAATTCTAATCAATAAAATCCGTTATCAAAAGTAACTAAAACCACGTTTAACGCGCAATTTTCCACTCGTAATAAATTCAGTATTCTATCACAAAATGAAAAATTAGAAATGGAAACCGAAGTAAACGAAATCGTCTCTAAATTACTTCCACCAATATTTATAAAAACAAAAATCCAAAATTACCAAGTAGTTTGCGATAAAATTTAAAATATAATAGAATTAACCGAGGATTTCACTTACAAAAGCTCTACTGTCACAGACTACTGAGTCACTCAAACTTAATGCTATACCTCGTAAAATGCATACAGAACAATAATTAAATTTTTAAAAGAATCAAAAGTAGAATTTTTTACGTACTAATTAAAAGAAAATAAGCCATACCGAATTGTTATCAGAAATTTACATTCTACCACTGAACCCGATTATATAAAAGAAGAACTTAAAAAAGAAAAATTTCTAGCGAGAAATGCTATAAACGCTCTTCATAGAATCACAAAAATACCACTACCCCTATTTTTATAGACCTAGAACTAGCACTAAATAATAAAATATATTCAAGCTCAAAACTCTATGTCATACCAAAGTCAAAATCGAAGCACCTAGAATCAACAAACTAGCGCCACAATGCTTAAATTGCCAAAGCTATAGACACACTAGAACTTACTGCAACAACCATTCTAGATGTGTCCATTGTGGTGATAACCACAGAACTAAAAGTTGAGACCTCCCTTCCAAATGTGCGTAATGGAAACCATCTAGCAAATTATCGCGAATGCCTTATTGTCTTCAAAAACTTCTACAAAAAACAACACAAACAAAATCGGAGAAAACACAAATTGTAAAAACTCTACCTTGTACAACCCTCCTGTCAACAGTACTTCACCTCCAAAAATTCAAATTAAACCAAACCTATTCACAGGCCATCTAACAAAATGAAAATCCGATACACATAAATTACGGACATACCAAAAAACGTATATACAAGCCACAAATATCAGTAGCCCTCTTAGTCAAAAATTCACTCCTCCCCGACTTCAAACATCTCTAAGAATACTAAAGAATTCATTTATTATCAGCGGTCACTTTAATTTCCAAATCAGAAAAATCAAAGCATTTAGTAATTTCATACTACCCGATAAGTCTACTACCGACGTTAGGGAAACTTTTCCAAAAATTACTTCTCAAAAGAATAACCCCTATTATCAGAGAAAAAAAAGTATCACTCCTAATAATCAAGTTGGATTCTGATCACATCACTCGAAAATCCACCAAATACACAGAATCACTGACATTATCATCACTCGAAAAAAAAAAGCATTGTCTAGCAGTATTCCTAGATATCGTGCTAGCATTTAATTGTGTTTGGCACGACGGTCTATTGTTTAAATTAAAATCATTTTTACTTGTTCCATATTACTTAATACTAAAATATTATCTTGAAGACCGATATTTCACTGTCAAACATAATAATTCTTACTCCTCTTATCATAAAATCAATAAATAGCTGGAACCTCATGGTGTAAGACCAATGACGCACTACATAACGATCTACAAATCTCAACAGTCAACGAATTAACAACTCAACACTATAAAAAGTTCCACTTAAAACTCTATTCAAACCAAAACCTTCTTGTTTCTTGTATGTTCTCTGTAACCATCCCCAACAACCCTCCAAGGAGATTAAAAAGAAAATGGTCAAGAGACGTTCTTGCGCAATAGAAAAAAAAAATAGTCTCTTCACATCAACTCACCAAATTAAATAGGAGGTTATGGACGGGTTTTCCCCCTCAAACCAACCAAGTCGTCTTTATTATTATTATATTATCCAATTTACTTATTGTACTTATCTGTAAAAATTGTTAATGTGCTTTTATGAATAATAAAAAAAAATACCAAAGTACTGAAATAACTGTTTTAATATATTTATATTGTATATATATTATACAATATAATAAAATATTATTTTAGTAAATTATATTTTATAACTGAGCTAACAAAAAAATTGATTTATTGACTATTTTTGCCAAAGTATAGTTTACTGAATATTGTTTAGTATCTATATGGTTACACATTTGTCTATAAGTTTCTTGCGGTATCTAATTAAACTGAAGTTACATTTTATAAAAAATTTTAGTTTGTTAAATCATTTTACTATGATTAAATGTCAACTAAAACAGTTGTGGAATTTTCCTGCAGGGACAACTTTTATTTGTTGGATTTTATTATACTGTGTGTATTTATTTTTGTGACCTAGGAGGTCTTTAAATCTTCTATAATTTATAATTTATATTCATAATTTTTTTTAATGGGAAATTAAGAAAATATTCACTTTGACGTATAGTCAAATAGATAGTCAGACGTTTGTGGACTTTGTATTAAGTAAGTCATTGTGATGAATGTGTTAAATTAAATTAAATGATTAATTATTGAATACGAAAATCAGTATTACTAAGTATATAAAATATGATTTATTTATATTACTATTAAGTATATTAATAATAATTACGTATTTCTAACCATAATAAAAATAGGCAATAATATATAGTTGATCTAAATTTTATAAAATTGTCAACGTGTATATAATATATTATATTATAATAAAATATAACCGTATTAATAATATATTATCTAAAAATTTCAAAGCCCTATATAAAATATTTTCCGCTTAGAATTTAAAATGATTAAATTTAGATATGAAAACCATTTTTATAGTTTACTGCTTCCGGATTTTTTATTTCTATATCCCTACCATCACATTAGAAAATTCTAAATATACCACTGTTACTGTACGTGTTTATAGTTTATAATAACATTGCCGTCTTCTTCAATTCTATTTGGGTAGATTGGATTCTAATAGAAATATCTGCCACGGGTAGTGTAGTCATGTAGATGTATTTTAACTAAGATTAGAGTTGGAGTATTCACATAAACCATTTCCTATTGTATTCTTTATTTTTTTTTTTTACAATTATTTTGAGAAGTACCTATTTGTAATTTTTAATTTTTAACTCCTAAAAATGTCAACTAAATACTATACCAGGATTTATAATAGTTAAACTACATCAACAGTTTAAAAATAATACTATATCATAAAAAAAAAAAAAAAAAAAATTCGAAATTTATATTCGCATTATATGTTTTGTCATGTATATGTATAAATAACGAAACAAGTTCTGTATTACTAAATATCCGTGTTCATTAAATCCGTGTTTCATGAAAAGTTATTCACATTGCATAATTAAGCGGGGTTTAATATATGAAGTTCCGTTTCGTGAACTGGATGAAATTTCTATTCATTTGACGAAATTGGTCAGAACGCGAAATTGATGCGACATAGTATATAATATATTATATATATATCAGATTTTAGATCTGCTTATTAATGAAAGAAACAGATAGAATGAAAAATTAATGTTGAAAATCCAACAAGCAAGTAAGTAGATAAATCGTTAAAAAATACTTCTTTTGTTATAGGGTTGTTTGAAAAGTCATTTGTATGTTGAAGTACCCATATATTGATAGTAGTAAATACTATGCCATTGTATACTAAATAAATATGCATTATTATTTGTTTAGAATTGTTTCTAAATCTGAGGTATAGATTGAAATAGTGTTGAGTTATATCACTAACAGTTCTGTGAAATGCCTCTGTTGTACTCACCAGATATTTTGTAAGTTTTATTTAAGTACGTTATGTATATATGTTTATACTTGCAATTTGCATAATTCTATGATGGTATTCGGTGAATTGGTCGCGAACAATTGATCGCCGGTGAATTAATCGCGGGCGAATTGATCGCGAATACAATTGGTCGCCAAGATAATTGATCGCCAAACGAACTTTTTTTAGTTTTTTAAGTATTTTATTATCCTAGGTATATTACCGAATTTTATGTTTATTATTTTAGAATATTTAAGT